TGGCAATTGGACAATTAAAACAGACATTCAAGGGGGGGTAGAAAAACGAACAGGGGAGGAGGGTAGAGAAAACAGTGCAACAATGAATGAATGAAAACCCAAAATCTCTGTAAATGTTCATTAAAACTGAAATATCAACTGATAAACAACATGTGATATATACTCATATATAGAATGTCATTTGAAAATGAATATAAAGAAGTACTGACACATGCTGTAGTATGGATGGAATCTTAAAAACATTATACTAAGAGAAAGCAGTCACAAAAGGACATAAATTATTATATTTCTTTGAAGGATGTAAAAAAAGGGAAAAGTACATCAGTGGTTGCCAGGGGATAGAGATCAGAGGAACAAGAAGTGACATCTACTGGGTACAGAGATTCCTTTTAAAGGTAATGAAAATGTTTTCTAATTAAATATTCATAATGATTATACAAGTCTGTAGCTATATTATTTTATAATTAATTTTACCATTTAAAAGACCCATAATTTATGAATTGTATATCGCTTTATCGTATATCGCTATTCTTAAAGCTATTATTTATAAAATTCAATTCCCTTAAGTCACATTTTTCTTTGCCTTACATACCTTTCCAGCATAAAGAATACTAGAAGAATCTAATGCATCATCCAATGGTTTCCAGTCCACTATTACCTCAGAATCCTAAAGAAAAAAATTATGAACCACACTGATTATTCAATATCTTTCATTCTTAGTCACATTTCTATTCCCTATATCCTAAATAAAATTTTACATATTAGCACTTATAATGTGTAAGAAAGATATAATATGGAAACCAATGTTTGGCATTTGTCACGTACTGGTTTTTTCACTTACTCATAAAAATTTCTGTCAGTACAACTTCTAGAATCTAGGTTTTAAGATATTTCATACTTCTAAATTTTTTATTCCAAAATCATTTCCATAAAAATGTTAAACCACTGTTTAATTATAAAATTTTGTAATTTCATCTTACAGATGAAAATTCAAACTTTTAAATAATGGCTCAAATAAAAACTATTATCACAAGCATTCACTAAAAGAAAGAATTTATTAGAAATATGTACCTTTTCTAAAACACGTAATATTCCTGAAATCAAGCTGTCATGGTCATTGGTTTTTCCAGAAGATGAGTGAATATATACTCCTTCTTGCTCATATATAATCTGAAAGAGTAAAAATCAAATTAATCAAATTATTTTTGCTCAGTATTACTTCCATCTTCATTTTTTAAAAATTGAGGATATTTACCGAAAATGGCTAGCCAAATTTCTGACTATTTCATATTTAAACATATAATTTTTAAATTAAAAAAAAAAGGCACTTCAAATAAACACAAACTGGAAGAAGTTTTTCTATTATACATGAAAGTTTCCTTTCTCTTTTTTTTTAATTCTTTTCTCTGTGTGTGCCCTCAAATCAGATCTGAATGGTACAGGAAAAGATTGTCCCTCCTTCTCTAGCAGAGAATCTGGTGGATTTGAACTGCATATCTCTGGGATTGCAATGCAGCTTCTTGCCACTAGGCCACCAGAGCTCCCTGAAAGTTCCTTTTTCTGATTAGTGTTAGTCACAATCTTGACCTTCTCCATTAACAACAATGTCAAGCTAATTGCTGTGTGTCTCAATAGGCAAATAATCATTAAAATTGTTGTTAACAACCATTAAGCAACACACAGGTTTGTATTCAAAACAGAAAATGGAATCAAAATAGCCTTATATGATTGTGCCCAATTTTGATCTACAACAAAAAATGTTAACTACAACTAGTAAACAAAATAGCAAGTAAAATTTTAAATTAGAATTTAAACCAAACCTAAAAGGTATATGAGAGAAATGATCAAATATAAACCATGTCACTGACTTCTTCAACAGAATGATATATGATATACCCAGAGAAAAAGAAAAGGAGAAGAGATCAAGAGGAAGATGTACAAGAACAAAATAATTAATGCTCAGTGTACTTGCAAAAAGTTGAGAGGAAAAAAATACACTGCTGTTAAGGCAGTACAGATGGACTACCAACAAATGGGAGGGAAAAGGAACTGCACACTGGTATTAAATTGCTCTAGGGGTGTAATGAGGATCTTTAGAAACCCAAATATCTATCAGCATATTATTTATATACATGTTGTTGGTAGGTGCTGTAGAGTACAACTCAAAGTAACGTTAGGAACAGCTAACTTGAACTTTGTCATATCCTGTGCCATCCTCATCATCTCTGATACAATAGAGTCCATTGCTGAAATCACTATGTCAGTTCCTCTGGATGGGGGTCTTCCTCTCCTTTGATGGCACTCCATCTTTCCACGTATAATGTTCCTTCCCAAGGAATGGTCTCGACTAGTTACATATCTAAGGGATGAGATACAAAGCTTTGCCATCTTTGCCTCCAAGGTGTACTCTGGCTGCACTTTCTCCAAAACATAAGTTTGGTCATTTGGCACAGCATTTGATAAAATTCTTGACTGTCTTACTGACAATGTCATCTCTCAGAAAGTACAAGTGAAAAGAAGATAGATGTAGATTAACAAAAAAAAATTATTTTAACTAAAACACGGGAGAAAACAGATCATATTAATGAGTTTAACAATTAAGAAAAAATCTGGAACACAGTCAAATGTTCAAACTATTGTTCTTGTTAGGTTATCCATCAAGTTGGCTCCAACTCATAGTAAACCTCTGAAAAACAAAACAAAACCCTGCCTGGTTCAGTCTATTGTTTTAGTCACTGTTTCCATGTGTCTTGCTGAGTGTCTTCTTCTCTTTTGCTGACAGCCCTCTACCTTTGCAAGCATAATACCCTTCTCCAGGTATTAGCCCTTCCTAATACAATGTCCAAAGTACAGAAGACAAAGGTACATCATTATTGTTTCTAAGGAGCACATTTACTATATTTATTCCAAGATGGACTTGTTTATTCTTTTGACAATCCATGGCATTATAAATGCATATATATACATATATATATAATAAAAATTAATTCCACCAAAACCAGAAAGATCATTTTAAACAACCATTTCAGCCAAGATGAGTTATCAGAGACAAATTTACTTACCATCTAAATTTTTAAAGACAGTCTATGAAGATAGTTTTTTAGTTTTCAAATATCACACAATTAAAGCAATATTATTAAGAGACATAAAGCAAATTAAGTAATCCTTAAAAAGTTTGTTTCCTACCTTGAGAGCTTCTAGTCAAAGGGAAAAAAAAATCTCACAAAGCACCCACTCACTGGTTTCCTTGAGTTACAGAAACAGAACTCAGAATTGGGGAAGGAAAACAGTATTAGCAGAGTGTTCCTTAAAGGCAGGGACAGTGAAGCTTACCTCACAGGTTGTTATTAAGCACAGCTGAGTCACAGATGACTCTTTGTGTATATTATCAGGAGACAGAAATCATTGGAAAAAATAGTGAAAGAGAGGTAAACTTTCAACAAGATGGACCAACTCATCATCTGTGACTCTTAGCAACCAACAGCTCTGAACCCTGCCTTACCTAGAGCCAATCTCACTGTCTTCTACACACTACACCCCAGTTACTGGGTCAGTCCATCTCATTCAGAGTCTTCCTTTCCTGCAATGACCTTTCACCCTTCCAAGCATGATGTGCTTTTCCAAGGACCAGTCCCGCCTAAAAACAGGCCCAAAGTATGTTAGACAGAGTGTCAAAATCCTTGCCTTCAAAGAACAACCTGGTATCACACTCTCCAGAATGGACCTATTTGCTTTTTTAGCAGTCCGTGGTATATTCAATACTCTTCTCCAGCACCACAACTGAAAGGCACTGATTCTTCTTTTGTCATCCTTGATCACTGTCCAGCTCTCTGATGCATAACAAGTAACTGCAAAGATCATCACCTGGGTCAAGCACACCTTACTTTCTAGACTCACAATGTTGCTCTTCAGCACTCTAAAGAGGTCCCTGACAGCAGATTTTCCTAGTGCAATTCCTTTTTTTATTTCATGACTGCGGGTGCCAAGAGCACTGATTGTGGATCCGAGAAAGATGAAATCTCAGTATAACTGTATTTCATATGTTCAAAAATATAAAAGCTGGTGTACGTTAAGACAGTATTATAGTATTAGTAGGATGTAAGTGATGAAAACTACAACATTTAAGATGAAAAATATTCTGGTTGGATATATGGCAAATCAGACATTAAAGAAAGAGAAACATGGAATGAATGAACAGAAAACCAGTGAACTGAAGAAAAATTTCAAGTAACCTAGTATACACACAGTTGAAGCCCGTGAGAAAGACAATACAAGAAAAAGACTCAACAAGCAAACAAAACAAGCAAAAACTTTTCAAGAAATAGAAGATTTCCCAAATTCGATGAAAACTATAAACTCACAATACAGCCCTACTGGCAAAATAGTTGAATGTTCAACAAATGGACGGCTAGAAGCAATCACTCATCTCTGTCAGGAAATCTGAGAGACTTCCTAGGAGACCCACTGGAATAGATACATATTTGTACAAAGAAGGGTGATCCAAAAGAATGTAGAAGTTACACAACAACACAGTTAATATCACACACAGCTAAAATTTTGCAAAGGTAAAATGACTACAACAGTACACTGGCAAAAAGCTGTCAGAAATTCAAAACAAATTCAGAAGAGGGCAAGAAATATCATTGCTGATGTCAGATGGAGCTTGGCTAAAAAAAAAAAAACAACTATCAGGAAGGTATTTGTTATTGCTGCTACTGTTATTAGGTGCTGTCGAGTCGGGTATGACTTAGAGAAATCCTATGAACAGAAGAGCTGAATCCCGTTCTATCCTGCACCATGCTCACCCTTGCTGACACACCCAAGAGTCCACTGTCAGCAGTCACCGTGTCAATCCACCTGGTGAGGGTCTTGCTCTCCTTCACTGATCCTCCACCCTTCCTAGTATTGTGTCCTTCTCCAAAGAATAGCCCCTCAGAGCAAAATGCCCGAAATATGTGAGGTGAAGTCCCATCATTCTTGCCTCCAAAGAGCATTCCTGCTACAACTTCTCCCAAACACATTTGTTTGTTCTTTTGGCCGTCTTTGGAATGTTCAGTACTGTATTCCAACACCACAGCTCAAAGGCATCAATTTCTTCTGTCATCCTTATTCACTGTCCAGCTTTCAGATGCACAGCAAGTAGTAAGAAAGACCAAGGCTGAATCAGATGCACCTCAGTCCTCAAAATGACATCACTACTCCTCAAATATCTGGAGAGGTCCCTAACTTCAGAAGATATTTACCAGTGTTGTTACTAATTTTACGAAAACATCTGACTGCATAGATCATAACAAAGTATGGATAACATTGTGAAGAACAAGAATCCCAGAACATTTAATTAAGTTCATGAAAAATTTGTGTATAGGCCAAAAAGCATTTACTAATGAAAATAAAAGATTACCATTTTCACTATGGATCACACCCACCATCAAGAAAACAAAAATCTTCACAAATGGACCAATGATAATATGATAAACACATCACATTTTCATCCTAGCACGGAAAAGACTGAAGTAGTCAGAGATTTCATTTTCTTTGATCCACAATTAAAGATCATGGAAACAGCAGCAAAGAAATCAAACAAGATAGTACAGTGTGAAAAACCACTGCAAAAGACTTCTTTAACGTGTTAAAAAGCAAAGATGTCTCTTAGAAGACTGTGAACCTGACTCAAACTACAGTCTCTTCGATAGCCTCACATGCATTTAAACCAGATAATTAATAAAGAGGATCAAAGAAGAATTGATGGCTTTAAATTATGCTGTAGGGAACAACACCGAATACACTGTGGACAGCAAAAAGAGCAAATCAGTCTTCAAACTGCAGCTCATTAGAAGCAAGATGCCAAGACTTCATTCACATCATCTGGACACATTACTAGAAAAGTCCTGTCCCTAGAGAAGGACACTATGCTTGGAAAGAAGGTCAGTTAAAAAAAAACCCTCCACAACTGGATGGACACAGCAGCTGGAAAAACAGGCTCTAACACAGTAATGATTTACTGTAAGGATGGTAGAGGATCAGGTAGAACTTTATTCTGTAGTATACAGAGTCACCATGAGACAGAACTGATTTAACAGCACTTAACAATTTTAAAAAAAATCCACAATGGTTAAGTACATAACCACAAGTCAAAGGTTCAAAGTTTGAACTTACCAGTAGTACCTTCA